ACCCAGATAAAGTCCTTGGGTAGAAATGCTAGTTAAAAGTCTTCCTAAAAATAATAGGAGATAATAACCATGTGAGTGCGGTATTTAAGTTTTTCCCTCGAGAGGAGGTGTTTGTTTTTCCCTTTAAGACGCTGGGCATCCTGGCCCCAAAATATCCCTGAACATCCATTTATACCCTGCTGGGAGGAGAGGACACGCTCCACCCCGCTTGGTGGCAACATGAAGATGGCAACCTCGTGTGCCTTCTCAGGCTGCACAGAGGTCCCAGGCTGCCCTTTCCCAGCTGCCATGAGGCTGGGGACAAGGCTAACACAAGTCGCCATGCCCTTTGGCAGATGTCACTACTCCTCAGTGAGAATTTGATTCTGGTTGGGAAGAGATCCATCTGAATTTGTGCACTTAGGGGCTCTGGTTGGAGCCCAGTAGCCTCATGGGGACAGGGGTTGGGGACCCGCCAATCCTCGCTATGGGAACAAACATAAATGGGTGAAGAGTTAGTCCTGAAGGCAAATGGGATCGATTCAATTTTCCTCTCTAAATACTTTGAGTAACAGGAACTTGGCCTAGGTGTAAATGGCGTAAAGCCCAAAGGAGACACTCGCTGATTATTTTAAAGCTTGATTCCACCTGGCACAGACACCAGTCCAAGCCTTTCTCTGGCATCGTTGCCCCTGGAACTGTTGTCGATTGTGGTTGGCTACTGAAGGAGAAACCAGAGCAAACAGAAGGTTGTTTGTGAGCAGTCCCTCTGCTCTGTTTAAAGGTACCTTTAGGATTAGGGATCTGCTCCCTGTAGTCATGAGGATGTGGAGGGCTGTGCAGAATTGTGCCTTTACATTGAGCTGTGAACTGGGCAGGACTTTAAGGATGAGCTACTCCAAACTTCTCATTTTGCGGGAAGGAGATACAAGGCTCAGAGAGGCCAAGTGATGCACCTAAGCTCATGGAATTGAAGGCACAGCTGGGAGCAGGGCCCAGTTGGCCAGAGCTGTTCCCACAGGTCCACCATGGCCTTTGGAACAGCTTGGAGTCCAAGTCACTACCAGGTTAGGTGGGTGCTGGGGGCTGGTTCTTTGTATCCCCCAGCAATATCCACGCCAAACCAGCCAGGACATTCAGGTTACCCAGCACCCAAATCACCATCGGGAAGGAACTACAGCAACAGGGGGAACAGCACCCAGGAGGGGGTGGGGTTGTTACCCAGTGTGGAAGGGAAAATCCTTCAGGGAGTGTCTACTCCCCACAAGCTCCAAGAGTAAATGACCATTCATTCTACAAGGCAGGTCAGCGGCTGCAGGTCCTGGGAAACCTGGGGGCCCAGCTCTCTATGCCTGTGAGGAGTAAACAAGAGCTTCTCCTTCCCAACAAATGCTCCCAAAGCCCAGCCTTTCTCCTGAAGGCAGTCCCCCGCATTGAGCGCGCTGTGTTTGCCACTCCACTCGTCACTGAAGTGCCTTGCAGAAGCGTAAGTAAGTTTTTTCTATTGAATCTGCATACTTTCAGGGGCGGAGTCCCGAGTGCGTGAGTGTTGCGCTGCATTCTGAGCGGAGGTCCCTGGACTGAAGTGCAGTCAGGAGACGAAGCAATGCAGTGGGCCGCGCCAGTGCTCGCGCGGGAGTGTGTTAATGAGTGTGAAAACTGACATGGCAAATACAGCGTTCTCGATTTTTAAATTACAACTCTGTAACAAGTCATGCTGTTAAAACATACAAGAAACACCAGTTAAGCCTTCAAGTAGATAACACACAGCTGTACAGATCGCGGCTGTCCCAAAATGCATAACAAATCATTTTCCTTGAAACGAGGCAAGAATTAGCAGGTAGTTCAATTATTTGAGGACTAAGATAAGTAGAAATAACAACTCCAAATATTAAACACCAATTACTACCTTAGGAGCTACAAATCAGCCCGGCATTACAACATGCCACCCTCAGTAGCAAACCCGGGACACGTTGGGGTTTGACAGGAAACACAAACCTATCACAAATGAGCATCTATGCAGTAAAGACATAATATCACTTCTGAAGCTGCACTTCCACAATGCTCATCACATATACCATGAGAAGAGCCTGGCACATACATTCATCCTAACAGCATCGAAAAGAATGACCTCCAAATGTTCTGGAAGTGAAGCTGCTGTCAAGCCATCGGCTGGCAATAAGCGACCTGAGGCTTCTACCGTGGCCCCTAAAGGAGGTTTATGGGTCAGTCTTACAGCCCGGTGGCCAGTGACGTCATTTCACACGTATATTCTTAACTCCAGAAACAGACCAGAAAATTAACCTGACCCTCCCTGATTAGCTCCAGGGGCCAGAAGAAACTGCTACATGAGATGTTATCTAGCAAGATCCATCACAGCCCAGTCGTGAGCACTTATGAAGTTCATACCTTGGTGGTACTTCAGGGGAGAGGAAGGGTATTTATTCCTGGGTTATAGTTCAGTCTCCATCTTTTGTGGGAATTAACTCATGTTCTGGGCCACTGCGTTGTTCTCTTTCCCTCTCATCTGAAACCATCACTTGGAGAACTTGCTGCTATTAGGACATCTCATCCTCAGAAGTGACTGAAGTTCCAGGATGGGCAAAGTAAAATTTTATACAAGTATATATATGTACACGAGATGTTAAAAAGACAGTCTCTAAAGCACTTTGGGATTCCCCTAATGAAAGGCACCAGATAAATGCAAGTCATTACCAAAATGAAAAGTCAAGTATTCCAGCTTTCACATCTGCAAAGAGTAAGTACTAGGGGTATTTCTTTTTTGGTGGTAAAACATACCTGTTTAGAAAAATACCCATGAGAGTGACTGAGTTATTCTGCCTTCTTCCTTGTCTCCACTTTTCACATGTTCTATGGTCAATGACCAGGATACCACACTCATTGACCTGATACCATCAGTTCTGGCAAATGGAACAGTTCTTACAACTCGGTACCATCACCTGTCTTCATTGCAACTAGGGCTGGTTTTGTAAATTCTCTGGCTTCCAGTGCTGGCAACATCAGCCAAAGCCAAATGCTCCACATGCAAATTCTGAAAAAATAACCCTGGTCTTCTAATTCAGTGGCCCATTGCCCCTAAGTCATCTCAGCTTTTCCTAATGCTTCCGAGAAACAGACAAAGATGGCAGAGCATCGGGCACTAGGACGTGGTCACCTCCCCACCCCCCATGGGGCTGCCGTCTGATGAAAGGATTTGAACTGGGGACTCAAGACCATACATAGCTAGTGCATTCATCCAACAAATTGCCTGCTCTGTAGTGGCCATGGCAACTACAAGTACACAAAGCCTTCTGACAAGATCATCACCATGAGGTATGTGTTACTTTCAACTAAAGACTCATAATGGGCCCATTTGAGGAAGGCCCACGCCATGGATAAAAGCCTGCCTAACTCCATGCTTAGCTCCCTGGACTCTGCAGCCTTTTCCAAAGACCAAACCATACTGGAAGCCAACTGTAAAACCACCTGGTCACCTAGAAGATAATGGAGAGCCAACTTACAAAGAGACCCAGGGTCCCCTTCACAACGTTCTATGCTAGTTAACTGAAGAAGAGGGAAGGCGTTTTGGAGAAGGAAAGAGTTATAGCATTAAGCTTTTCAAGAAGTTTCCAATTATTCGTGCCCGTAGCCCTGTTTTGTTTCACAGCTCTTTCCTTTTTTTCTGTGCCCACCCTCTACCCACCCTTCCCCAGCAAAAGGCAATTGAAACAGAAACAAGAAATATATGTATATATAAACAAACTGTAGTATTTCCCTCCTGGGTATGCAGCGCAGCCTTCATGCATTTCTGTATTTTTGAGTACACACTTCCGCACCTCCAGGTTTCCATGTCATACAGGAACTCTGGGGCAATTACAGCATTGCATATAACATACTATGTCCTAGAAGCAAAATTATCTAAGTAAATCCTGCTGGGAAATGAAAGGGCTCTCATTTTATAAGCTTGCAGAGCAGGCAACACAGTTCCTAAGCTACTGCCCTCTGCTAGCAACCCGACAACGTTCACCTCAGGAAAACAACGCAACAGTAAACCTCGTTTCAGTCGAGAAAGACGACACAACCTTATTTCTAAACATTTAAAAAAATAAATATTTCAAAAACATGCTACTATCTACGACACAGCAAAGTTTGGTCAAATGACCTAGACCAGGAACCTCAGCCAGAAATGAATGTCTCCATGGTCATCTAAGGAAAAACAGGCCTGACTTGGAAAAGTCTTGGAGCATCCTATAATTTGGCCTATGCTTAGCTGAAGCCCCTCTCCCTAAAGCATCTGTTCTAGGAAATATATTTCTATCGTCACTACATGTTTAACTGAGTAACATTCTCTAACGAGCAACATTTACAAGGTGAACATCAGCACGCATGGCTGTAAAGGTGACCAGGGCACCCATGCAAGTCGCAGAACACAGAGCATGTATGAAACAACTCACGGACTTGCACTGGCCTTGTGCATCGCTGCACATTCTCTTTGTTTCAGTATTAAAACTAAATGAGAGCAATGAATAGAAACCTGAGATTTTGTTTTCACATGACATGAGCAAAATCCCATCATAGCCTTGCTGACCCCATGGATGTGTTTCCCCTGGACAGACATATAGGGGCTTTTTGTACAGAACTCACATGACAACCTCAGAAAAAGAAGCACAAGAAACTCACAGACAGTACTGGGCCACAAGCACTAGAGTAGAGTACACAGTGAACAGAAAAGTTAGCATTCTCAGCGGTACTCATCCAGCAGAAATGTGGACGTTTTATGCCCAAGATGCAAACACCAGTGAGTGTCATTTCACTGAAAGGCGCAAAGGCATGGTGTCAGACACACCACCCTTTAGAAAGGATTCTAAATACTGTAACGGCAACCTGGGGCGCATATCCCATGCATCTCCCCCCTTTGGGCCTGGCCATACTCCTTACGCCATAACCCTAGGGTGCCCGGCCTGTGCCAGAGGCACTAGAGGCAGCTCAGCCATGTGTTTGAGGACAACAAGTCCTCTCTGCTACTGTAGGGAATCGTTTAAACTTAATTCGCTTGGTGAGCTCCTGCTCATGTTTGTCAGGCTTGCCATGAGGGATTTAACTTTATGTGCATAGTAGTCCCTTAAGTTGACTGAAGGGACCTCCTTCATTCCGTCTCCAAAGTCACAACTTCGCATAGCACTCTCAAGTTGCTTTTGGCGCCGATAGAAGTGGGAGAACTTATTGAAGATCAAGGTGATGGGCAGTACCACCACCAGGATACCTGCCAGGATGCAGGCAGAGGCAGTCAGCTTCCCTGCTGTGGTTCCTGGGACCACATCCCCATACCCCACAGTGGTCATGCTGACGGTGGCCCACCACCAGCAGGCAGGGATGGTGGCCAGCCCCTCGTTCTCCTCCTTTTCGATGGTGTAGGCCACGACCGAGAAGATGGAAATCCCCACGGACAGGTAGAGCAGAAGCAGCCCTACTTCTTTATAGCTGTATTTGAGGGTGGCCCCCAGGGAGCGGAGGCCAGTGGAGTGTCTGGCCAGCTTCAAGATGCGAAAAATTCGCATCAGCCTCAGGACCTGGGCCACTCTGCCCAAGTTGGCCAAGGTTGGTGTGCTCTCCACCACCAGGTTCACCACCAGAGTGATATAAAAGGGGACGATGGACATGAGGTCAATGAGGTTTAGGGCATTCTTGAAAAACTTGAGGAAGTCAGGGGCCACAGCAAACCTGGCCACCAGCTCAAAAGTGAACCAGGCGATGCCGAAGTGCTCCACGATTTCGAACCTGGGGTCCTCCCCGGGGCTGCCCTGGCTGTCCGGGATTTGGAAGTCCGGCAGACTGTTGAGGCACATGGTGATGATGGACCCCAGCACCACCAGGATGGACAGGACGCTGAAGACCCGGCTCAGAACTGAGTAACCAGGGTTGTCCAGGGCCAGCCACAGCTGCCTGCGGAAGTTGCCCAGGGGCTGCCCATCGAACTTGGAGGCGTCGTTGTAGAAGGCCAGAATTTCGTCAAAGGAGGACGTGGTGCTCTCCTGGTCGCTCTGCTCGTCCCACTTCTCCTGCTCAGGCTCCACTTTGCGGCCATGGTAGCTGTAGCTGCAGCACGAGTCGATGAAGAACTCGTTGATGCCCCAGTACTCAATCTCCTGGCTGAAGGAGAAGACGCACAGCTCCGCCATGACGTGAAGCTTGCCTGTGTGGTAGAAATGCAGCACGTAGGGGAAGAGCTCGGGGTTGCGGTCAAAGTAGAACTCCCGCTGGACGTCGTCGTAGTCGTCGCAGAGCTCCAGAATGGCCTCGCGCGAGTGGCAGAGCAGCAGGCGGCCCAGGCGAGTCTCGGGGAAGCGCAGCAGCGTGTGAGAGCGCAGCCGCCTCTTGAAGCCTCCCACGTTGATGCGGATATCTCCGTCCTCGACGTTGGCCTCCGACAGGTCCCACAGGCTCCTGCGGGTCATGCTGGACACGCCCAGCCGCCCGCGCCGCGCGGGGGCGCTACACCTGGAAGCAGAGGGAACCGCACGCGGTGAGCGTGGGGTGTTTAGAGTCCCGGAGCCCTTCTCTTTTTCCCTACCCATCTCTGGCGGGCCCAGTCCTCTCCAGGCAGGTCTCTGGGGGCTGAAGGGCACTGAAATAAGAGAAATGGTTCTGTGGGGTTTGGACCCCTCCCAAAGAAAGGCTTGGGGTTGGGGGAGATTTCCACCGGCATAGTCGCGCCTCCACCCCTATCCGGGGGGTCTTGTCGGTTGCTTTATGCTTGCGACCCCGCAGCTCTGCGAGATGGGGGCTGCGAACTGACCTTGCCCGTGGGCTGGTGGAGGAGACGCCCCCGCCCGCTCGCCGCAGACAGGCGGGACCGGAGCTGGGAGCTGGGATGCGCACGGGCAGGGCTGGGCCGAGATGGGGGCACGCAGCTTCGGGAGGGAGGCGGGGAAATTCACAGCACGGGGGCTGTAAACGCGGGCCGGGGTAGGGGGGCCGGGCTGGCATCCCCTGTATCCAGCTCCCACGACTGGGCCCCCTCGCCCCCCGCTCCGGGCCTTGCTGCTCACCAGGCGCGGTGCCACGGAGCCGCGTGCGCCGCGCCTTACCCAGCCGAGCTGCCAGGGCTCGCCCTGAGTGTTCTGGAAGCGCTTACCTGAGAGCGCTGGGGCCCGTGGCCAGGGCGGGCGGGAAACTTCCCCGACCTGCTGCCGAGCATCGCTGTGGCCGCCGCTGCGGGCCGGCTGTACGGGTGCGCGCGGATGCTGGTGTGTGTGCGCCTGTGTATGCGCCCAGCGGGCGAGCGGGCGGGCGGGCGGGCGGGCGGAGTCCGCCGAGCGTCTCCTACTGTCTCCGGCCGGAGATGCCGCCGCCCGCAGGAGGCTCACAGGTGGCTGCTGGCACCGACACTCGCAGGGCCACCTCTCACGATCTGCGCGCCCTTCAGCCCCCGAGAGAGACTAGAGCCGGTGCCGCGGGCGCCCGCAGGAGCGGGAGCGGGAGCGGACCCGCGCCCCTCACAGTGGTGCTGAACGGACAGCTCCACACGCTCAGTCCCAGGCGCGGCCGCCGCCCCATACTCCGAAGATGTCGCCGACCGCAGCTTCTCTGCTCTCCTCCGGTCACGTCACGGCCACCCCTTTGCGCCCCCGGCTCCCCTCAGGGCCGACACCTTCCCTATGCCCTCACTCATCTTCTGGTGACAGCGGTTATTTCCACCCTCCCTCCTTCCAGGACGCAGGCAGGGGACTGCCTACGGTGACCTTTCCCTACTTGGTCCAAGGCGGGAGCCCAGCTGGAAAATGAGGGGCGGCTTGCTGAGTCGGGGGAGTGGTGAGGGTGGGGAGGCCAAGATTGCAGAAACTCTGGGTTTCCCCCTTAAGGGACCTGATGAAAAGTTTTCTGAAACTGAGGGTCGGATGGGGCGTTAGAGAAAGGCAGCGTGACAGCAGAAGAGGGGGCAGGGAAGCTTGAGGTCAGCTCAGCTGAGCTTACCAGGGGCGAGAGCGCAGGCCTCTCCTGCGTGGGGAGGAGTCACGGAGTTCTGTTTGGGAGCTCTGTGTGGGCGCTGTATGTGCACAGGCTGGTGTGGTGTGTGGGCTTTCTAGGAGTGCAGGGAGCTGTGGTGTGTGTGTGTGTGTGTGTGTGGTGTCTGAGGACAGGAGGACTTTTAGCGTCTGTGCATGCAGCGTTGGTAAAAATGGGACCTCTGAAGAATGGGGAAATGTGTGCAGTGTGCACACACATCCGGGGACTGTGAGCTGTGTGTACAGCGTGCTGTATACAGAGTAGTATTCAGTGGGTGGGTGTGCTAACACATTGTGGGGTGTGAGTCCAGCGTAGATGCCCTCAGTACCTGCATCTCCATTCCCCAAGAAACTGTGGCCCTGATCTAAGCTCTTGGCTTGTTCTTTAAGGTGGGCTCAAGGTCAGAAATGGACCCACAGTGTCTGGGGAGCCTCCTCCTCTTGGTTTCTCAGTCCTTTTGCATGGGCCTTATTTGCAAAGACTAGAGCACCACATGAGCTGGCAGGGAGCTGGTGGGCCACCGGTCTCAGTCAGAAGTCCCAGGACAGCCCTTATGGTGTGGCTCTGGACTCACAGGGCAGCAACCACCAGAGCCGCAGTGGAAAGCACACCCTTTTTTTCAGCACTGTCATTCTAACTAAGATGTTTTGTGGAGTTCAAGTGCTGTGGCATTCTTTGGAGGGCCTGGAAAAGACCCTTGATTGGGCTTCATGTGGGGCTTCTTGAACCCAAGCCTGGCTTGGGAGGGAGACCCATCCCTGTACCAGGCACCAGCTTCTGCATATGTGTGTGGGACTGTGTGCAGGTGTGTTGCCTGCTGAGAAGGCTTCACACCCACATTCCTGCAGGCCTCTGCAAGTGCAGGGGACTCCAGGGGACATAGGCACACGTGGGAGGGGAAAATACGGTGGTGACAGCTATGCATTGTTTCCCTTCTTTTGTGTCTGATGCTTTCAGAGAGGGGTGGGTGTGTGCGTGAGTGCATGTGTGAAAGAGAGAGGGAGAAAGAGAGCGAGACAGAGAGAGAAGGGCTCGTATTTGTTGTCTTTGTCTCCTGTCTCTGTTTCTTCCGCAGTCTGTGTTCAGAGTATGCTCATCTAATCTCCTACCTGGGTCTGCTGAATCTGTCACTTCAAGTCTAGCTTGCCTCACGCCCAGCCGAGCCAAGTGTCTGTATCTGCCTTTTGTTCGTTTTTCCCGGGGTCTGGAGGCCCCTGAGTCTCCTTTATCCCCATGGGAGTGCGGCTGAGACCGTGCCAACCTTTATTGATGATGACGATTAATGCGTGTGTAGCCACTGTGTTGCTGCGTCTTTCCCTCTTTTGCAGCCCCCCTACCACACCACAGGGGTGGGGCTGGCTGTGAGGTCTCCCTGCCGCAAGTGCCTTCAGCAGTAGCACCTGTGGGGTGGGCATGGCAGGCCCTGAGGCTCAGTCTAGTCCTCCGCCCAGCCTCTCACTGCCTGACTTCTGACCACCCAAAGTTCACAGCCCCTGTCTGCTCCATCACCGTGTGCCTGTTGTGGCTCCTGCTGCACGGCCCCCCTTTCCCAGCCACTCCCATCCCTTGGCCTTGCTCCAGAATCTTCTCCTGCTTCAGCTCAGCACATACATCACCTTTTCCAACCATGCTTAGAAAGTCCCTACCCCCAAATATCTTGGGTTTGATGATTTTGGCGTTGTCTTCCTTCCCCTGCTGCATTTAATCTGCCTGCGTCCTTCTGTTTCTGTCTGGTTTTGTTCTAGCTCATTCCTTCTTCCTCTGTGGTTGTGCGAGATTTCACCCCTGGAGAGAGAGCCCTCTCTGCCTTCTGTGTCTCTTTGTTTTTCTCACACTCATGGCCACCCCATCTGCAGACCACCAGGCCCCTGGGCTCTCACCCTTCTACTAGGGCTCAGTCTGCACCCCCTCAGCTCTGCCCCCTCCTCCTGCCAGTGCCCCTCTACCTCCCTCCTTTCCCTCACCCTCCCTCACCCCTTCCATACCTGACAGAGCTGTGCCAACATGCCCCGAGCCACTCAGGGGCCCAGTGTGCTTACCCGCCGCTTGTCTGCTTTTCCTGGGTCAAGAACAAGGCCCCATGCCCACCTTTCCTTGAACAGGCTGGTGAACTTGGAGGCCACAGGAAGAACCCCTAGTTCAGAGCTCATCAGTTATTTCTTGGAAGGGCTGAGACAGGAGCTCTGCGGGTCTGACAGATGCCTTTGCAGAGGGCTAAGTGTATGTGACAGGCAGAGGCACTTGTTTATTTCCCAGTCGCTGTGCTGAAGAGAAATGGAGCCGTCTCTCTCTCCTTCTGTGCCGGGGAGGCTGGCTGTGTTTGTGGTTTATTTAGAGGTCTGAGCCCTGATCTGAAAATACGGCTGCCTGCTCCAGGCACACATCAAGGCCTGCCCCTGGGCCGGCCTGCCAGGGGGAGAGGTGACCCAGGAAGGGGGACACACAGACCTCAGGCAGCGGCCCACATTCTGGCCCCTGGAATCCTATTATCTCCACCTTCCCTGCCGACAGTGCTCTCTCCGCCGAGCCCACACATCTCGGAGATGGCTTTTTTCTCTGCCAGGCAAGGGGGCTGTACTGGCGGCCTGGCTGAGGGAGTCTGACCTACATTCCCCACTGGAGGAGCTAAGCACCCATCCTCTCCCTGAAGTGGGGACCTGGGGTGCCCACCGTCCTGCTGGCTGGACCATTCACCTGTGTCCATCCTGCTCTCTACAAACCATCCTCCCGTCACAGCCAGAGTGGCTCTTCAACACGCCAGCCAGCTCGTGTCATTCACCCCCGACCACCTTCCAGGGGCTCCTGTGGAACTGAGAGGGAAAACCACTCCCCACCAGGGCTCCCAGGCCCTCCATACGCATCCCCACCCACTTCTCTGCAGCTGAGGGCCCCTCTGCCCCCTCCCAGGGCCCTCCCAAAGCTTCTCTCTCTGCTTGTCGTGGCAGCTTCACACTGCAGGCTTCTCTTTGTCACTTGGGTCTCAATTCAAATGTCACCTCCTCAGAAAGCCCTAGCTGCCCAACAACGGGGTCCCTCTGTTAGTTCCCTCATTTTTCCCACAGCACTTGTATTAGTTACTGAATGTGCGATTCAGTGATGAGTGAATGAGGCTCCAACTCTTATCCTGCGTTATTCTGTGCCAGCCAGAGCCTTGGGCCACCTCTTCAACCCCCCGTGTAGGTGGGGGGGGGAGGGGAACTGTGCCCTGGGGCTGTGGCTTGGAACCCCCCGAGCTCTGGGTGTTCCCCAGAGCAATTGCTTAGCTCAATGGATCTCATCCCTGGCTGCACATTTGAGTCACTTGGGAAGCTTTTAAAATAGCAGGTGCCCCTGAATGCCTTGGGCCTTGCCCCAAATCAATTAAATCAGAATCCCTGGTGCAGGGCTCTGGGAATCAGCGTCCTCTTAAAACCCCTGAGGCAATAGTTAGTCTCGGTTAAGAGTCCGA